AGGCAAAAAATAAATGGCTGTAAAAATTGCAATAATTAGAATTTTGTTACAAGAAAAATTAAAAAAAAAAAAATAAGTACTTGTACAATTTTAAAATTTTCTCTTAAAATTCTATTAAAAATTTACTCTTTGAAAATTCAAACATTTTATCTACTAAAAAAAATTATATGCAAGGTGTAAATTACAAAAAAGAAATATCTGATAGCTTTTCTTTAAATAAATTAATCGCTAATTTAATTGTATGAATACAAAAAAAAATTATTAAAAATAATATTGTATGTATATAAATCCCGTTTAAAATTTTTAAAATATTTTTTAAAGCGTAAAGTTCAAATAAAAATTTTTCACAAACTTTTTAGATGGAAAGTAAAGTTTTTTGCTGATTTTTTCTGGTCAAATTTAAGTAATATAAATCACAACGTTTATAACATTTTACTACCAAAATTTTTTCAAATGAATATGCAATTTTTCAGCCATCGTAAAATTCAAAAATTTTAAAATATATTTTTACCTTACTTAAATAGATTCCTTGTTTTTCATGTAATACATGACTTTTTAAAATATTTTTTTTTTTTTTTTGGGGAAAGATAGGAATTTTTTTTGAAAGAAAAGTATTTTGATAAACTTGGAGAACAAATAAATTTTCTCTGATAAAAAATCATTTTTAACCGAATACACTTAAGAAAATTTTTTTGACTACAAACAAGGTCTGAAATGAATATTCTTTTATTAAAGAAGTTTATCTACCATTTTCTTGAGAAATGTGAAATTTTGGAAAACTTTTTTTGTACAGGTTTTTAGAACAAATTTATTTGCGAAAATTAAAAAAAATTCTTTTACTGATTTTATGACAAATCAATTTTCGATTGTACAAATAGTTACATTTAATTTTGTTTAAAAATCTTTTTTTTTTTTTTGAGGTAAGGTTTTACTTTTTTTCGAAACACATATAAAAAGCTAATTATTTTTTAATCTTCTCAGTGAAGAAAAACCAATAATAAATATTTTTTTAAATTTGTACAACAAAAACGAATTGAGGTAAAAGAAATTTTTTATAAATTTTTTTTGAATTATCCAAAAATTTCGTTATTTTTTGTATAATATGCGAATTTCAATGGCAATAAATTTCTTTTTAATATTTTTTTATGAAAAAAATTTATAGCAACATCACGATGCCAATTTGTACAAAATTTATGTGAACTAATAACTACATGAATTATTTGAAAACTATGTAAATTATTATATTTTATTAATATGGATGTTGTGGCAAAGTCTATAGCAACTAATGGCTTGGGTATTCAAGATATATTGTTAATAAAAAAAACTCGTGTGTATAAATCATGCATCAGCAACTAATGTATAGAGAAAAAAATGGCAAAACAGCTCAAACTCGCAATGAAAAAACATTAAATAATATCACTAGCGGCACACACACACAACCATACTTATATACACAGCGAAAATTCAGCACACTTTCAAAATAAAGCACTCAGCATAAATTCAGGCGCACAAAAAACAGCACTGCCACTTAATAATATAAGCTACACCAACACCAACAACCAAAGCGAAGTTTTGCATTGAAGTAACTTTTTTGTGAATTAACATGTAAACATTGAGCATAAAAATTTGCTAGAAATACTGAATTTGCTTCAGCGTTTTTTTCATTTTACTTTTTAACTTAAATATTTTTTTTTTAGTTTTTTACTTTTAGTTGATTTTAGTTAAAATAATTGTTTGAATTTTTTCATTAAATTTTTTTTTGATTTTTAATGAAAATATTTGTTTTTTTTTTAATTAAAATAATTGTTTGGTTACTAACTTTTAAATAAGTTTTTTTTAACTCTTAATTTAATTATATTAATAAATTTTTAAATTTATATAATATATATTACACTTTTTAGTTTATAGATTAATATTTTTCAAAATTCAAATTAAGTAATAAAAGCAAAACCAACGAATTTCGTAAATGTGCGCAGCAAATAAAACTATTAATATTTTTTTTATTATTAAAAAACAGCAAGAACAAGCATATCTCTCCTATTTTCAAACACTCCTCTATAATCCTCGCTTACTAACAGCCAGTTACACTGTAAAATGCAGCTAACACTCTGTTACTCTAACATAACCATGTACGCATACTGTTAAAAATATATATTCTATTGCTAACATAAAATGCAACTGTAATACAAAAGAACTGTGTATTAACATAACCCAATACAACTACTCACTGTTATGGAACAGTACTCATACGCATACATACATACATATGTACATACATCATTGAAGTGTCAACGTTGAACAATGTTAAAATATTGTACATACTTATGACGATGCTCATAACAAGTTTGCTTCACTGTTGTTCTGTATGCTTTACGGATAACTAAAATTATGTACAAACTGTAACGGTCATTAACAGCTGTGTACAATAATGTATGTTACATGAACAAAAGAAACACAGCTTAAACACCCATGCGCGCTCATCTATTCCGATCACTAACTTGGCCGCTTCCACTCTCTTTCTCGCTCTCTCGTAAATTCCTTATCCCACTCATGACCACCACCATCCGCACCTTTGATAATATCCCATCTTTAATTAACTTTGTGTTTCATTACATACTCATTTGTTTGTACATATATATATATAAACGGTCTAATGTTAAGTGATGTTGAGCAGAAGGAAAAAAAATATATATATATAAATAAAAAAATGTTGTATAAAATATATAAAAAACTAAAAGAATATATATAAAAAATAAAAAAATAAAAAATGTATATAATAAACATAAAAAAATATAAAACTCATTAAACTTTATAATTATTTAAAAATTAAAAATAATATAAAATTAAAAAATGTGTATGAAAATAAAAAAACATTAAAAAAAATAAAAAATTAAAAATTAAAACATGAAAAACTTAATAAAGATTAAAAAAATTATTTGGAAAATAAAAACATATTAAAAAAAAATTTAATAATAAAAAAACATGTATACAAATTATATAAAAAAAAAAAATGTAAAAAATTAAAAAAAAAATATATAAAAATATAAAAAAATAAATAAAAAATATAAAAAAATAGATAAATGATACAGAAATCATAAAAATAAGACTTATTTTAAAATTAAAGATATTAAAAAAATATAAAAATGTATATGAAACTAAAAAACACATAAGAAATAAAAAAATAAAAATGTGAGTAATAATAATTAAACAATAAATTATAAAAATATATAAAAAATATAATAAAAAAAATAAAAACATATAAAGCGTAAGAAAAGATATAAAAAATAAAATAAATAAAATAAAAAATAAAAATAAAAAAAAAATAAAATAAAATAAATAAATAAAATATATATATCATAAATATAAAAAAATAAATAAGAAAATATAAATAAATATATTTAAAAATTAAAAATTATATCAAAAATACAAAAAATGAATATGAAAATAAAAAAACTTATATATAAAAATAAAAAATATAAAAAATGAAAAATTTTAAAAACTAAAGTGTAAAAAACTTAATAAAGCATAAAAAAATATTTAGAAAATAAAAATCTATTTAGAAAATAAAAATATATTTAAAAACTAAAAATATATATAAAAAATAATAAAAAAATATAAAGAATAAAAAAAGTTAATAGATGAAACCTCTGTAACTGTAAATCCGCATCACTTAGCACTCCGTTTTACGCATGCTATGTAGAATTATAATATATTTGATTATTTAAAATATAATTTTCAATTAATCCACTCAACACTTCATTTGTCCTTTTTGCCTTCGGTTTGTAAAAAATGTATGTAGCTTGTTGCTTTCCTTGGTTGTAGTTGTAAAATAAAAAACATTTTTATTTGCTAGCTTCTAAGTGTGAGTATTTATCGAAAATTTTGATGTTATCGAATTTAAATGAAAAATTGTGTGTTTAAAAATATATATTTTTTAAGTGCAGTTTCGTTTCAAAAAATTCTCACTTCTGGCATTAGTCATTTGTAGACGAAAAACATTGTTATTTTTTCAATTTTAATAAGGAAAATAAAATAGAAAAAGCTATCACACGAATTTCGATGGCGAAAAGTCAGTTTTGCCGAAAAAAACAGCTGAGATTAAAATATTTCTCGCACGAACAATGAATGGCCTTATATGCGCCTGAAAACCTCACTGAAACTGCTTACATTCTGCTTAATAGCATGCTTTGTTATTATAACTCACTCTCCGCAATGTTTATCTCTCAACATATTTCTTTCTCAGAGAATATTTTTTGTTTATCCTTTCAAAAAGCTAAAAAAATGGTATTCTTTAGTGCGTTCAAGCCACGAAAATAAATAACACAAATGGTAATGACAGCGAAATAAAAGTATCGTATATCGATTAACATTAACAGCGATAGCGCTATAAGGCTGTGTTCTCATTTCCGCCTTGGTCATTATGCAAACTGATGATCAATTTTATGTTTACAATTTAAAGAATTTCCAAACTTTTTTTGTATTTATGTATATTAAACACACAATTTTATTAAAGAGAATTTGATTTTATAAAAAAATACTTAATAAAATAAATAATATCAATATTAATACATAAAGAAATAAATAATTTAAACATCAAAATTTTCGTAAGTACATTAAGTTGAAGTGAAGTTGTGAAGATGAAGGAGAAAAATCATTTATTATAAGGAAATAAATTAGTTTATATAAGAAAAATTTATTGAAAAATATACAAATATATAAAAATAAATAATTTTATAGAGAAAATTATAAAACATTAACAAAAAAAATTTGTTCACCAAAAACATTAAAGCACAACAAGCATAAGCAATCGATTCTTGCTCCAACTCTCATTATCACTTCACTTCAACTTCGTCCGTCCGTCTGTCTGTTTAATGACTTTCGAATCCCCACCGCATGCTTTATAAATATTTAAACTCTTCATTAAGAAACGCAATGAAATATACTAATATACATTTTTTCTCAAACCCCACAATGATTTTGGTACGCTTCGCATACAACAGTACCACCCAGATGGATACTCGAACCCACCGATAAGGCTTTCGCCCAAGGTTCCGATGCAAAGGTTGAATGCAAAGCTGATGGCTTCCCAAAACCCCAAGTGACATGGAAGAAAGCTGTTGGTACGTAGAAAAGATAGAATTTTTTAATAAAATTTGCTAAAATTATATATGAATTTCCAGGCGACAGCCCCGGCGAATACAAGGATCTCAAGAAGAACGATAATATACGCGTCGAAGAAGGCACACTCCATATTGATAATATTCAGAAGACTAATGAGGGTTATTATCTCTGCGAGGCAATTAATGGCATTGGCTCTGGTCTCTCGGCCGTCATAATGATCAGCGTACAGGCGCCACCAGAATTCACCGAAAAACTACGCAATCAAACTGCGCGTCGCGGTGAACCTGCAGTGCTGCAGTGTGAAGCGAAGGGCGAGAAACCAATTGGTATTTTATGGAATATGAATAATGTACGTTTGGATCCCAAAAATGATAATCGCTACACAATACGCGAGGAAATTCTCTCCACCGGCGTTATGTCTAGTCTCTCAATTAAACGCACTGAACGCTCCGACTCTGCGCTCTTCACCTGCCTGGCCACGAATGCTTTTGGCTCGGATGATGCTAGCATTAATATGATCATACAAGAAGTTCCCGAGATGCCATACGCTTTGAAAGTTTTAGACAAGTCTGGCCGTTCCGTACAATTGAGTTGGGCACAACCCTACGATGGCAATTCACCACTTATTCGCTATATTATTGAATTCAAACGTTCACGCGCCTCTTGGGATGAAGTGGATCGTGTTATGGTACCTGGTCACACCACCGAAGCACAAGTACAGAAACTAAGTCCCGCCACAACCTATAATATACGCATTGTGGCCGAGAATGCCATTGGTACATCACAATCATCCGAGGCTGTGACAATTATCACCGCCGAGGAGGCGCCATCTGGTAAACCACAAAATATTAAAGTTGAACCCGTTAATCAGACAACATTGCGCGTCACATGGAAGCCACCAGCACGCTCCGAGTGGAATGGTGAAATTTTGGGTTACTACGTTGGCTATAAATTATCGAATACCAATTCTTCATATGTTTTTGAGACTGTTAACTTTTTGACTGAAGAGGGCAAAGAGCATAGTTTGGAATTGAATAATTTACGCGTCTACACCCAATACTCTGTGGTAATACAAGCATTCAATAAGATTGGCGCTGGTCCACTTAGCGAGGAGGAGAAACAATTCACTGCCGAAGGTACACCTAGTCAACCACCAAGCGACACTGCCTGTACCACATTGACCTCGCAAACAATTCGTGTTAGCTGGGTGAGTCCACCACTCGAGTCGGCCAATGGTGTGATCAAGACTTACAAGGTGGTATATGCGCCCAGCGATGAGTGGTATGGTGAGTATATTTGTATTATATAAAGCACAATTTCTAACTCAATCTACAGCTATGAATAAGACCCATTGAGATGCCACTTTGATGCCCTGTTGAATCTCATTAAAACACAACTTTGACGTCGGTGCTCTCTTGGATAGACTATCACGAAATATAGTACCAAAGTTTCAAAACCTAGCACTGCACAAAACAGTCCATTCGGATTTATATAGGTGATCCTACCAGCTCCTGCTGCATCTTCTATAAGGCACTCATAGTCTTTCTCGGAGAGTGAACTACCAGTACCCTACTGCCATGGAAATGCCTCCTCTTTATAAGGAGCACATTTCTTGCGGTCCCTTTTTCTTCCATTGCGGCTAGATTTTTTGCTAGATTTACTAGAAATTGTGATTTTATTCCGGCCTATTCATAAGTAAATTCCTTGAGAATAAGCTTCCGAGTACTAATCTATCCTTAAACAAGAAGAATTTTCTTGATCGCAGCTTGTCTAGCTTTGCAGTTTCGAGAAAGAGCCCACATAACGCCCTTTCTCACTGCTTTTCTACCGGTATTACCGTTTTTGGGACAGAAAGATGCTTGCGGTTGCGCTGTGGTTGCAGAGTTTTTCATAAATTTTGGCTTGGCTTTGACACTCCCAGCAGATCCTCACTCGAATGTGTAGTCACTCTGAGATCCTATGGTTATCTATGAAATCAGGGGAAAAGTGAACGGCCACGGTGGAGTTGACACCCATCCATGTGAGGTTAGGTTCGCAATGCAAGGTCCAGTGCATACAACGGCAGACTTCTGCAACAGGAGACCTACACTATCAACTCAATGACGACGCGATCGGAAAATACTACGAGGTCTGCTAGGGTTTTAGTGGCACAGAGGCAGTCATTTCCGTCGAGAGTCCCTCCAGCTTACTCAGGCAATGGGATGCCATCAGCATCAGCTGAGAACAAGCAAACGAAGAGAGCATCAAAAGAAAGTCTTTTAATGGCGGGGTCAAGCCAAAGGCGGTTAACTCACATGCTCACGTGCTTTCCTCCATATGAAGGGCAAGCAGGGGATTCATAGTGAAGATCAGGCGTTCTGTTGAGTATCCCTACCCTTTCGTGACAGTTCGGCTGATGTTTTTAAAAAATAAAATTACGGAAGACACGTTTTTAAAAGTATTCAATCAAAATTAAAAAATAATAATAATTAATAATTAATTAATAATAATAATTAAAATTAAAAAAAAAATCAAAAATTAAAAAAATATAAAAAATAAGAAAAATTACTAAAATAAAAACGATTAAAATTAAAAAAAAATTAAAATAAAAAAAAAAAATTAAATATAAAAAAAATTAAAAATAAAAAAAATTAAAATTAAAAAAAAAATTAAAAATAAAAAAATTAACAAATTGAAACAAGTAATAATTAAAGCAAATTAAAAATTAAACGAATTAAAAAATATAAAAAAAGATAAAATAAAAATAACTAAGTAATAAATAAATAATAAAAAATTTTTAATTACATTAAAACATTAATAAAAAAATTAAAGAAAAAACTAAAATTTTAAAAAACAAAAATAAATTAAAAATAGAACAAATTAAATATAGAACAATTAAAAAAAATAAAATAACTATAAAAATATACATTTATACAAAAATTTTAAATTAAATTAAAAAATAAAAATAAAAATAATTTAAAAATAGAATAAATTAAAAAATAAAAGAATTAAAAATAAGCTATTAAAAAGATTTTAATTATCATACATATTATTGAAATATTTTTTTTTAATTGATTTTCAAAAAATTTCCTCCTCGAAGATGACACCAAACGTCACTACAAGAAGACTGCCTCCTCCGACACCGTTTTACATGGACTCAAGAAATTCACCAACTACACCATGCAAGTACTTGCCACAACCGCTGGCGGTGATGGCGTACGCAGCGCACCCATACATTGTCAAACCGAACCTGATGGTAAGCGAAATGAAAATCTAACGCTGATTCTTCAATTTTAAAGCAAATTCAATTTCTTTCACCCATCCAACCACGCAGTACCCGAAGCACCCACCGATGTGAAGGCCTTAGTTAAGGGACAAGCTGCCATATTGGTCTCATGGCGCCCACCAGCACAACCCAACGGTATTATACAACAATACACTGTCTACTCTAAAGTTGAAGGCGCTGAGGGTGAACCAAAAAGCCAGAAAATATCACAATACCAAATGAGTTACGAGGCCACCGATTTGGAAAAGAATAAACCTTATGAATTCTGGGTCACTGCTAGCACCAACATTGGCGAAGGACAACAATCGAAGAGCATTGTAGCGATGCCCAGTGATCAAGTGCCCGCCAAGATTGCCTCATTCGATGACACTTTCACCGCTACCTTCAAGGAGGATGCTAAAATGCCCTGCCTGGCTGTGGGTGCACCACAACCGGAGATTACATGGAAAATCAAGGGTGTTGAATTCACAAGCAATGATCGTATGCGTGTCTTAAATGATGGCACTTTGTTAATTAAATCGGTTAATCGTCAAGATGCCGGCGAATATACTTGTCACGCGGAGAACTCCATTGCCAAGGATTCGATTACACATAAACTAATCGTTTTGGCGCCACCACAATCACCACAAGTTTCACTCTCGGCCACCACAACCGATTCGTTGACGGTGAAAGTGAAACCACATGAGGGCGATACGGCGCCACTACATGGTTACACATTGCACTACAAGCCAGGTGAGTGCGCGTTAGTAATTGAAGGTTTTTCGAGTGTTTTTAACTTTTATTTGCTTAGAATTCGGTGAATGGGAAACTGCTGAGGTCTCTGTGGATGCACAAAAGTTCACCATTGAAAATTTGCTTTGCGGCTCACGCTATCAGGTCTATGCTACCGGTTTCAATAAGTGTGTACTTGGAGTTTTTTTTCTAGATATTTCGAAAATTTTAATTTTATATATGCTTCTTCTGCTTCTAACCACTCTTAGCATTGGCGCTGGCGAGGCTTCGGACATACTCAATACACGCACCAAAGGTTACAAACCCAAACTGCCAGAGAAACAACGTTTCATTGAGGTTTCATCGAACTCGGTTTCATTGCATTTCAAGGCCTGGAAGGATGGCGGCTGCCCCATGTCACACTTTGTTGTTGAAAATAAGAAGCGGTTGGTGTTGCAGCGAAATTAAAAATATGCAAAAATATTCATTTTCCACTTTGAAATCCCCAACCGTTATTAATATGTGATTTTCCTCTCCCCTCAGCGATCAAAATGAATGGAATCAAATCTCGAATAATGTCAAACCCGATAATAATTATGTTGTTTTGGATCTCGAACCGGCCACTTGGTATAATTTACGCATCACCGCACACAATTCAGCCGGTTTTACGGTAGCCGAATATGATTTCGCCACACTGACTGTGACTGGAGGTATTTATTTTCAGTTTTCCAATTTTCCACTACTGTACAGATTTATTTAGAACAAATGATTGCCTTTTTACGAGTGCACATATGTATGTACATGTATGCAAATGCATGACTGCATATGTATGTACTACTATGTATGCGTCCCATTTACAACTGTATTTATGTATGTAGCGAGTGTTCGTAAGAAATTTCGCATTGCTTTTGTACATAATTAATATATTAAATATGTACATACAACATACATACTACGGTAGAAGTGGGTGGGGAAAATATGCTGTGAAGGGGTAAATATATAAAAAATAAAATAAAAATGTTTGAAAGTGTAAAAAAAAAATATTATTTTTTTTTGAAATTTCATGGAAATATTTCTAAATAAATAATTTAAATATTTTTTTATTTAGTAATGTTCAATTTTTTTTTAATATGATTATTAAATATTTTTAATTAATTTAAAAGTTTTTTAAATAAATTTAAAAATTTTTTTAGGTGAATTTAAATATACTTATTAAATACATTTAATTTTTTTTTTTTAAATAATATACATATTTCTCAATAATTTTAAATATATATTTTTTAAAAATTTAAATATTTTTTTTAAATAATTTAAATATTTTTTTAAATAAATTTAAATATTTTTCATTTAAATAATTTTTTTCGAATATAAATATAAATATAAACAAAAATACTTTTTTTTTTAAATAAATTGCAATTTTTGTTTAAAATGAATTTAATTTTTTTTTAAATTAATTTAATATATTTTTGCTAAAAAATTTATTTATTTTTTTAAATATATATAAATGTTTTTTTGAATTAATTTTCATGTTTTTCGTTAAAATATTTTGAAATGTTTTTCCAAATTAATTTAAATATTTTTTTAATGAAAATCAAATCCTTTCTTCTAATAAATTTAAATATTTTTTTAAATAAATTTAAATATTTTTTTAAAAAAATTAAATTTTTTTTCAAATAAATTTAAATATTTTTAAAGAATTAAAAAAAAATTAATAAATCTAATTAAATTTTTTAAATAAGTATACATGTTTTTTAAATAAATTTTTATGATTTTCGTTTAAATTATTTAAAAAAAATTTTTAAATTAATTTGAATATTTTTTTAGTTAAATTCAAATTTATTTTTAAAATAAATTTAAATATTTTTTTTATATTTTCACATAATTTTTTAAATAAGTTTGTAATTTATTTATTTTTATTCTAATTCGCTTTACATTATTTTAAATAAATTTCGCCAAAAATTTGCAATTTTGTAAAAAATGTATCCAACAATTCTTTAATACTTTTTTTTTTTTAACGAATCTAACGATTTTGTTTCCTAAATAATAAATAAAAGTTAAATTTCGTATAAAATATAAAATATATAATATGCTATTTTAAAATCATGAAAAAATGAAATTTGGTATAAAATTTATATTTTTAACGAAAAACAAAATTTTATACAAATTTTAAATATATTGTTTATTACGAAAAATCGTGTAAAAATAAGATTTAGTACAAAATTAGTGTATATTTTTTTTTAAAAAACCACGAAAAATAAATTGGTATAAAATTTAATTTTTTTTAATGTAAAATTTATTTTAAAAGTTGAACTCAATTTCTTTTTTTCAAAAGCAACAGCAAAACAGCAAATTTTTTAATAAAAATGTTTATAAAATAAAAAATGGCAAAAATTAATTTAAAAAATAATATTCAACATTTTTATAACAAATTTATAATTTTTTTTTAATTAAATGTACATATATATATTTTGAAATAAAACTACCCACAGCATTTTTCCCCGCTCCACAATACAAATAACAAGTAAAAAAAAAACGAGTTTGTTGTGGAAATAAATTGTAGTAATAATTTAAGAAAAAAAAAAGTTTGCTAGTTAATAAAAGCACCTGAATGCTTTGTTTTGTTTGCAACTCGTCTGCCAATGCAAGAATTTCCATAAAAAAAAAAAATAAATAAAGCCTAGTTGTTAAATAATTGAACCCACAAAAAAATCACCACGATGAAAATGCAAAGTTGAATTTAGTAAATTTTTGCTTTTTATGCAAATAAAATTTATTTTCTTTTTATTTTGCTATGTGAAAAAATATATGATTTTGTACGTAAAAAAAGCACATGAGAAACTTGTAAATTTTTTCTTTAAATTTTTTGTAAAATATTTAAATTTTTTTTATGCTTTTTAATTTGTTTTTTTTTTTTTAATTGAATTTGTTCTCTATAATTTCTAAAATATTTCAAATACTAAATATATTTTACGAATATCTGCAACATTAAAAAAAAATAGAAAATTAAAGAATAAAAGTAAAAGAATTTCAAAAGGAATTAAAAAGCTAAAAAAAAATTAAAAAAAAAATAAAATAATTCAAAAAATTAAAAAAAAAAAAGTTAAAAAAAAATTAAAAAAAAAATTAAAAGAAAATTAAAAAAAAAATTAAAAAAATATAAAGAAAAAATTTAAAAAAATTAAAAAAAAAAATTAAAAAAAAAAATTATAAAAAAAATTGAAATGAAATTCAAAAAAAAAAAATTAAAAAGACTCAATGAATTCTAAAAAAATTCTATATTTCACATTTGCTCCGCAAATCTGAGTTACTTCATTATTATTTCGCATTTTTTAAATTTTTTTCGAATTTTTTTCGCTTAAATTTCTGCGTGCAAATGCTTAATTTTTCATTTTTTTTTTGTACAAACTAGTAATGCAATGTAGTAAGAAAAAAAAGAAAACACTGACGCATATTGCTCGTAAATACATACATAATTTTTTATTGCGTAAATGCAATTTGTTTTTATCCCCCCAAAATCACCTTCACCAAAACAAAAAAAAAAAAAAACAAAAATCTCACCCCAAACATCACGTTTAAAAATGTAAATTAAAATAAAATAAATTTGTTGAAAATTTATTTATTATTATTTTAATTTTTTTTTTGCTAGAGATCCACAACCACAGCCACCACTAAGTACACCAAATGAAAGTTTGTCATTAAAAAAAAAAAAAAAAAACAAATAAAGTATTTCATCGTAACGTATCTGGTTTAGTTTCATGTCAAACCAAAAGCTAAAATTGAGCATTGACTCATCACATTTATGTATAGTTNACTTGATACTTTTTTTCAAACGCCCCCCCCCCCCACTCTTAGTATTCTTGAGCTTTATTACTAATTTTTTTGTATAAATTAAAAAGAAAATATGGTTTTATTTTATTATTATTTTTTTAATAAAAAGTAAAACATGTGTTGTTTGTTGTAAAATAAAATGTATAAATTGTTGGCATCATAACATAACTGTTAGTCATCAAAATCACTCACGCATCTGCATTAGAAACTCCTACAAATTTTTCTTTTTATTATGAGCCTTTTAAAGAAAATTTAGTGTATTTTTTTTTAGAAAATGTGTTTAGAGTGAAAAACGATAATCAAATCCCTTTCAAAACCCTTGTAACATAACTACATACTCGTATACAGTGAATAGATTCCATTCATATTTTACTGTGTCTCCTTCTTTTAAGGTTAGGTTAGCGCTTGGTTTGGCGCTTGAAAATCTGGCGCTGCCCAGTCGAATGTTCAAAGGGTTAATTAAATAAATAATTTTTATTAAAAAAAATAATTTTGTTTATTCGAAAATTTTAATTCTGTCCCTCTCAATCTACCTTGGCGCTTGGCGCTTTCATGAGGCTTTTCAGTCTTGGGCACAGGTAAAAACCGTAGGAGCCGCAGAGAGTGGCGAAAAAGCAAAGATGAGGGCGTGGCTACATTAGCCGTATAAAAAAGCTTGGAATTTTCCAAAATATCGGGCAAAAATGTTTGGTATTGCTGCAGGAAAATGGTTTATAACCTCAATGAAGCCTATGCACGACGCCATGATTATCGAAATTTTTTTAAATTTTATAATTAACTTTAAGCATTTATGTAATTTCCATTTTGTTGGATGACCTTTCGTTATCCTTCGGACAACATTCTTATTCCACGCTCATAGAACTTCTGGTCTTTAACCGCAAAAAACTGAACCAAGTGAAATTTTAGAGCCTCAGCATTATCGAAAGTTTTACCATTTAATGAGTTCTGCAGGGGTCGAAACAAATATTAATCTGACGGTGCAAGATCAGGCTTATATGGTGGATGCATTAACAGTTCCCAGCCAAACTCTCTTCGTTTTTGGCGATTGACCAAAGATGTGAGCGTCTAATATTGACCTGGTGGATTACGATTTATCAATTCTGGCTGCTTCTCGTTGATGGATGTATTCAATTTGTTCAGTTGATTCGATTAAGGCCTAACTAAAGCGAGTTGTTATGAGTTGAGACTTCTTCAAGCCTACTAAACTGCGAGGTTTCAGGATGTCAATAACATTTTCTAGATATGACCGGGTAGAGACAGAGGAGGTTTTTTACTATCCAAATCAAGTCCATCTCTTTACATTTCCTGTATATATCTAATGATTTTTATGTCCAGTTTGCAAGTAGTAGATTGTGGCTTACTATAGACTTAACACTGTCCTGAAGTCCCTTCGACGTCTTTAGATCAAGATCACTTGACGATCTTGGAGGCTGTTATCTTGTGCGAACTCGCTAAGATACGTTTTTCTGTGTTCTCATATAAGATATGATATTGGCGATCTTGTAAGTGGTTAAGCTAAACTCCATCTAGTTCGTAACACTGCTAAACAGTCTGTTTGCGGCGTTTAATCACGTTATTGACGGTATATTGCATTTGATTAAGCTGTTTCAACAACTTGGATCCATATTTTTTGCGCGCTGTTATTAGGCGTACTTCTTTTACAGCCCTGCTTTTAAAGGGAATCTGGAAAGTTTTCTTCTTGGTACTTGGCACTCTTGGAATTTTCCATTAGGACGAATAGATGATGCTTCCACAGCACTTCGTCAATTGTTCTGAATCAATTTCTTCCTTTCTCCGTCATTTTCGTTGGAGTGCTTTTTCGGTGAGGTCTTCAGGACGAGCGTCGTTATTCTCATATATCCTTGCGTTACCAAGAAAAGCTTGTACCACTTGGAAATTATATTTTTTTGGTCCACTCGGAGTACTCTACATCGTTTCTGCTTAAAGATCGATCATTGCGGAAGCCTACTTAGATTGCTTAGAATGGCTTGGACTCCATATCATCTGAATTACTTATTAGATATATCATTTGGGCCTTTCATCTCCTGTGCATCAATTTGAATAGTTTTAGTTGATCAGTCTGAGGCTCGGTTGGTGTCTGAAGCATTTTGTGAGAATGAGAGTAGAAGACAGGCTTGTTTGAGTGGAACATAGGTGACCAAGAACTTCAGAAAAAAACAAAATTGTAGTTATTTTAGGCCAATAATAAAAAAAAAACTTGTAGCCATCGTATATAGGGAAATAAAAATGTTTTTGCTAACAAATGTTTTGAAATGCCATAATAAAAAATATACCAATAACAACATAGGTTTACTTAAAATTAATAAATATTTCCTTTAAATTTTTTTTTATTAATTTTTTGCAACCTTTAAACATTTTGCGTTGGAAAAAATTGAAAAAATATTTTATTTTTCTATTTTTCCTTTTTAAGAAGCTTAACAGTCTTCTAGATTACACCCAGATTAAGAACCTCAATACATCACACACACACCCTACAGCTTTTTCCCATATTTAGCATAGCTTTTTTTCCACTTATTTTATTGCAATTGGGGTTCCAAGAATGCTTAGAGCAAAAATAAAATTGAAAAAATTTTAAAAATTTTAAAAATAAAAATAACAAAAAAAACAAACACAAAAGGGGATTGTTTATACCTGCAACAACCAAAGCGCTGCTTCAACCGCCATTTCCTACATACTTTCCACATGAGTGACAAGAGATTTTCATTGCCATAAATAAAAAAATATTCAATACATAAATGAGTAAAAAAAATTAGTTAGATTTGTTTGTTTAAACAAAAAGAGTAAGAAAGAAAACAAAAAAAAAAAAATTCACTGCGTCTCTCTCTGAGTTTATTTCGTTTTTCAATTTAAGTCTTTTTATCTCAATTTGTATCAAATTTGAATTCGATTATGATTCAATTAATATTTATATTTAATTTAACATACATTATACATAAAGCATTTAAAATATACATACCTACATAAATATTTATTCATATAAGTACATACATACATTTATAAATACAAACATACACATACATTGCCATATTGTGAAATAGTCATAATTACATACATACAAAAAAAAAAAACAAAAAAAAAAAATATAAAAAACACAAGCATACAAATTTACAGTTATCTAAATAATAAATTGAATAAATACATATATTTATTATAATTATACTCAAATAGTTTTTAATTAAGGAATGTTGTTCGAGTTTGCCACGATAAATTTAATTAAATTAACGTTTAATATCTAACTTAAAGTTACTGCTGTTATTTGCTTCCGTTTGAGAGTTACGTACATATGTACTTATATACATACATAGTTTTAAACAAATACATAATAAATTATTTACATTTAGAATTAGCTAATATGAAAATGGACAAAAACAAATTGCATTTAGTAATAGTTAGAGATTTTTTCAAATAAATAATATTGCATTTACTACATTTTAAAATATCAAATATGAAATATGTGAATTTTAAAACATTTTCTTACATTTTCGGTGTTTTTATGCCATGTTCGAAAATTCGAAGTTATTTTCGAAAGTTCGAAATTGCGTTCGAGCTTATGGTAAAAAATTAACATCAAAGCTTAAAGTTTAAAATTTCATTTCCGATGTTTGTATGCTCTGTGCGCAAATTCGAACATGCATTCGAAGCTCAAATTAAGTTCAAAAATTTATTTCAAAGCTTAAAAATTTCAAATTAGATCTCCGGTATTTTGTAGCCATGTTCGAAAACTCGATGGTATGTTCGAAAACTCAAATTGCGTTCAAAAATTTAAATCGAAGCTTAAAAATTTCATATTTAAATTCCGATGTTATTAAGCTTTGTTCGAAAATTCTGACTTATGTTTGAAAATTCTTACTTATGCTCGAAAATTCTTACGTATGTTCGAAAATTCGAAAAAATTTTGAGAAACTGAAATTACTTAAAAAATGCGAAAAGAAGTTTAAAATTTATAATTAAAAAAAAAAAAAACAGTGTGTACTGCCAGTAAAAAAATTTTAAGCATTTTAAACTTACTGAAATATTTTGCAAATTAAAATTTTATGAATTTAACAATGTTTCTATTCATTTTAAAATTCACATTATTTCTTACAAAAAAAAAAAAAAACTTGTAAAATAGCAACTTTTTAGCTTGAAATTTTTTTCCACATTTTCTTTCGGTCAAACGAAACTGTTCAAACACCGTTAACTACAAGTTCGTTTTCTAATTCTTGTGCCGTTTGAATTGACTCTCACTATTGTTACATACATATTTATGTTTTACGAATTCTTCGTCACACTTTTACAATTTTAACTCTTATTAATAATTAGATTTCGTTGTTTTTTTTTCACTTACATACACAAGCAAAAATTTCGAATTCAACTTTTTTATAGTAATAAATTGAAAAATAAAGTAAATTATTATTCAAATCATGCTAACCAAAGTAATGTTCGAAATGAAAAATAGATTTACATTTAGAATTTCGAAAAACGAAATAATCCACATTGCATTGACGATTCAAACGACTAATGTCGAAACTCGGGCTCTCTCTCTCTTTCTCTATGTCTCTTTTTTTCTCTATCTCTCTTTCTCTCTCTTTAAATCTCTTTGTGTGTGCGTGTGTTTGTGTGTGTGTGTACGTATGTTGTTTGTGTGCTTCTACAAAAACTTTGGTTGTTACAGGCACAATCGCCCCTTCGCGTGATTTACCCGAACTAACCGCCGAGGATACGATACGCATCATACTTTCGAACTTAAATTTAGTTGTACCGGTGGTAGCTGCTCTGCTCGTTATTATCATAGCGATAATTGTTATTTGTGTTCTACGTAGCAAAGGCAATCATCACAAAGGTATATACACAGTATATTATTAATCGAAATTTTCTTTTTTTCGTTTCTTTTCTTTCCACTTCCTTTTTTTTTATAAATATATCAACTCCTAAATTGCTCTCTGAAAACTCTCTCAATATGTAATGCGCTTAATACATACATATGTTATACTACGTCAACAAACAAACCACCAAAAATAATTAAAAAAAAAATTTAACAAATTTTATGTTTATTAACGAATTTTTAATTTTTCTTTAATTGGATATACAAAAACAAATTGAAAAAAAAAAATCAAATCTTGTAAAAATTGCATCCGTACTCACTTAAACACAAAATATTTTTAAAAATCTCAATTATTTAAATGTTTGGCTTGCCGTGAATATCAATATTGAACGAAAATTTTGTGATCTTCGAAAATTCGAAAATCAATTTCGAAAATTCGAATATCGCTAATATGCATGCAAAATCGTTATAATATAAAAATCTATGCATTAAACAATAAAATGAATGGTTTGTATGTAAAAAAAAATTACGATTCGGACATAAAAAAATACGTCAAAATAAAAATCAGGCACCATTGCGCCGCTCGACGATGATGGCCACGGTGCTGGCAATTTGAATACGCGCATCCGTCTGCCCGCCTGGATGCCCGAATGGCTAGACTTGAACTTTATGGTGCCCCTCATAGCCACAGTCATTGTGGTAGCGGTTGGTATACTAGTTGTGTGTGTAGCGCTTTCCAGACGCCGTGCGGATGACTTACGAGGCGGACAAAAGGATGTGTACTGTAGGTTTTATGTTTTTTTTTTTTTCTTGGTATAGCATCTTACTATGCTTGCGCAAACATAGCTAAAGTGCTTTGATATCTCAATAAATATTATTACATATGCATATAAATAATATAAATTCATATATTTAATGCTGATATGAAAATATTGATTTTCGAATTTTATTTCTGTTTTCGAAAAAATCATGAGAAAAAAAATATTTAAATTAATGCATATCAAATTGATTAAAAATGCAAAAATAATATTAGTCACTCGAAAATCGGGAAACGAAATATATTTTTTTTTTTACAAAATTTAATTGTTTTCGTATTAAATGTTGCTCAGTATTAAACTCAACTAATCGTACATATACACTTGTATATATAACATAATACATAATCGTAGCATGTACATATACCTCCAAAGAATAAAAAACAAAAAAAAAAAAATAAAAATAAAATCAAAAACGAAACACAAATATACCAACACAAAATTCGAAATTGCTTAAAATTAAGTAGGCCATAATTCGAACTGAAATTCTCAAAAGTATTTACACTATCCATTTCCTTGTTTTCCTTGGACCGCAAATTACTAACAAAAAAATCCATTAAAAAAATTAAAAATTCAAAGAAACATAATTAACTGGCTTTAACATATTTGTATATAAGAAATTATACATATACCCATATACATATATTCATAATCGTTGTTGCAGTCATCTAAATGTTAAAAATATTTATGTACATTCATATTTATATATATGTTAAATATTTAAATAGTAATCGTTGCCCCATCAACTTCATCATCTCATTAACCAATTGATTATCTCCCTTAACTTATTAGATAATATAAATATAATGCTGTAAATTTGTAGATTATTGGTATATTCATAGCTACAAATGTATAAATTATTTTGAGCTTTAAATTTTATTTTATTAATATTGGTCCAGTAAAATGTAATGTATCATTTTGCGATATCAAACTGCCTTTCTGATAGAACCCCTTGGCTCTGTTGACAAAAAATTTATACAATCGATTCTCAAAGCCTTCTCTTGAAGCAAATTCTTCAACAGCCAAATCATTCGCCATTGGCTGGAACAGATGGTAATCGCTTGGTGCGAGCTTCGAACTATAAGGTAGATGCATAGGAACCTCCCAACCAAGCTTTCGGAGCCTCTCGAGTCACTATCGGTCTAGTGTTGTTCTGATGAAACGAAATTCCCCACCTGTTGGCGCAAGGTGTGCGCTACTGGGTGTATATTATAGTGGGTATTTCCTTCCGACGGTACCATTTCTAACAGTATAGGTCCGAATTAAGAGCTTGGGCGCAGCTCAAAATGGATGATTCCTTGCCAGTACTACTACCAAACACACAATAAAACCTTTTTGGCCGGCAATCCTGGCTTGAAGAGGGCTTGTGCCGGCTCATTGTCATTCGACCAAGACTGTTTTCAATTGACGTTGCTGTAAGTGATACACTTTTCGTCACCAGTCAAAATCCGTTTGAGAAATGGGTTTGATTTTGTTATGATTCAGCAGTGATTTGCAAATGGAAATTTGGTCCATATGGTTTTTCTCCTTAGCCGAAAAGAACTCAACGAAAGTAAAGTCGTCTTTAATGCATTTAAAAAGTCTAGGTTGTTCTCTTTAGAGTACCAATTCTTTGATTCAATCTGATCACTTATCGGCAAATGTATCGTCAAGATGACCAATATTATCCTTACCTCGTAATAAGGACAATTCCAAATAGTTACAATGTTCAGAAACGGGACGCATTTTGACGACATTTTATTTGTTAGTCATGTCGGTAGGACTTCCACTTTAGAAAATAACTGCCAACTATCCTGCAACTCTCAAAAACAGCAATGCGGAGGTCTCTTCATTCCTCCAATATTGTGGTCAGACTTCGTGTTCGTTTTAGCCTGGCTAGAGGAGCCTCCATCCCCCTGCACGTATGAAAATTCTTTGTTTCCAAAAGAACCGCATAGATAATTGATCTGGGCGGTAAAGTCTTGGCAGTTTCGCCCCTTTGGCGAAATGGCTAACACACACTACTGAAACCCGCATTCCATGCAGCCGAAGAATGTCCCGACGTTATAGTACATTTTTCAATAATCTAAAAAAATGGAGTCAAAGATATACAAGTTGCGTAACACGATTCTCTACATCATGGCGAATTTAGCGATACTAAGACACGGTTTATAGCCTTGATTCAAGCACAATATTTTCTTTTTGAAAGCACCAAGTCGTCTCCAATTCGATCCCTATAAGCAAGCTATCAAGCCCCTTACTCATTCTCAACCCATTCCCTGGTAAGTTTGACTTACTTCGGGTCAATGGTGGACCCTCTTAGCTTTAGGTGAGCTATAATGAACTACGCCCAATTATAATCTCTTAGAAGTCACAATTTCCTATCTCGTATAAATGCTCTATAGAAGAATTATTTCAGCACACGAGAGCGCGTTTTAGGCAACAAGTCATGAGGCATTAATTTTATATTTTCCGATTCAGACTGCTCACCATGGAATGCCTTCAATGCAAGTCATGTCTGTTTATAAGCAGCAAACGGAACCAAATCTGGGAGTTTCCCGATCAAATCATCGTCCAAAGGGCATGGGCACATGCTGAGCTCAGTCATATTATTGAAAATTCCATTAAAATAAAACAAAACTTGTTTAAATACTATATTCAATTGATAATGAAAATTTGATTTATGTACAGAAATAATTTAAATCAACTTTAGTTTTATGTTTTTATATTTTTTAAACTCATAAATTTATTTCTATTTTTATTTTAATTTTATCTCACATTTTGTATTTATTGTAATTTAATTTTATTTTGTTTTAAAATTATTTATTTTTTTTAATCTAGTTTTTGTGGCCTTTAATTTATTTTATCTTATTTAATTTTATTTTAAATTGATTTATTTCATTTGATTGTGCTTTATTTTATTTATATTTCTTTAATTTTATTTTATTTTTATTTTTATTTTTGTATTATTTTATTTTAAACAAATTTATAACACTTTAATTTAATTTACATTCATATATTTACTTGCCTAACTTAGCTTTATTTTATATTTGGTTTATTTTCTATTATTTTATTTCAAATTAATTGATTTTCTTTATTTAAATTTTATTACATTTTTTTAATATAATTTCATTTTATTTACTTCTTTTTATTTAACTTTATTTTATTTCAATTTATATTTGCTTTAATGTATTTTATAATTTATTTTTTTTTTAATTTAATTTTATGTTTTTTATTTTTATTTTGTTTTTGTTTTATTTTAGTTTATTTTATTTCACTTAAATTTATGTTATGGTTTTTTATTCTATTTTATTGCATTTTATTTCATTTATTTTTTTATTTTTGTTTTACTTAATTTTATTTTCTTATGTGCTATTTTTTTTAATTTTTCATTATAGTTTAAATTAAATATATAATTTATTTTTTTAAATAATTTTATTCAATTTTTTTAATTTTGTTTTATTTATTATTTATATTATTTTTATTTATTTTTGTTATTTATTTTTAATCTGTTTTATTTTAGTTTTCAATATAATTTAATTTTATTTTAATTTATTTAATATAATTTTATTATTTGATTTAATTTTTATTTCCTTTATTTTTTTATTTTTATTTCGCCTTATTTTAGTTTTTTTAATTTAATTAGATTTTGCTTTTCTTTTATTTTATTAAATTTTATTTCATTTTATTTTTTATGTTTGCCTTATTTTAATTTATTTATTGTAATTTTATTTTCTTTTATTTTTATTTTAGTTTAAATTAAATATATAATTCATTTTTTTATATAATTTTATTCTATTTTTTCATTTTGTTTTATTTATTATTTATATTATATTTATTTTTTATTTTCTATCCTAGTTTACATTATATAATTAATTTTGTCTTAGTTTGTTTGGTTTAATTTGATTTAATTTTGCTTTTTCTATTTTAATTAATTTTTTTTACATTTATTTTTTTTTATTTTTGCCTTATTTTAGTTTATTTAATTTTATTTTATTATGTATTATTTTCTTTTATTTTTTATTCTAGTTAAGATTATATAATTTATTTTATTTTATATAATTTTATGCTATTTTTTTATTTTGTCTTATTTTTCATTTATGTTTCTATTGATTTTTTTTTTATTTTTTTATTCTAGTTTACGTTATATAATTTATTTTATCCTAAATTTTTTAGTTTAATTTGATTTAATTTTGCTTTTTTATTTTATTTCATTTATTTTTTTCATTTTTATTTTATTTTTGCCTTGTTTCAGGTTGTTTAATTTTATTTTATTATATATTATTTTCTTTAGTTTTTTATTTTATTTCATATTTATTATATTTTAGTTAATTTTATTTATTTATTTTATTTCACCTTCTATGTTTTTTATTCTTTTTGTTTTATTTTTAATTTTATGTTGTTTTATTTTAATTTACTTTTGCTTTCTTTTATTTTGTTTCATTTATTTCTGTTAATTTTTTTATTTTCATTTTATTTTTTTTATTTTCATTTTATGTTTGTTTTATTTAATTTTTTTTGAGTTTATTTTATAGAACATATTTTATTAATTTCAATTAAATTAATTAATTAATTAATTTTGTTTTATTATATATTATTTTTTTTAGTTTTTTATTTTATTTCATATTTATTATATTTTAGTTAATTTAATTTATTTATTCATTTTATTTAATTTCACTTATTTATTTTTTTATTCTTTTTGTTTTATTTTTAATTTTTGCTCATATTATATAACTAATTTTCGCTTCTATTTTGTTTTATTTTATTTTTTATTTAGGTTTTATTGCATAATTTATTTTATTTAGTTAATTTATTTTAATTTTTTTTTATATATTTTTAATTTATATTTATTTTTAATCTGTTTTATTGCAGTTTTCAATTGAATTTAATTTTATTTTGCCTTCTTTTTATTTTATTGCATTTTATTTTTGTTTTATCTTTTATTTTTTATTTTAGATAATTTTATTTAATTCTATTTTTTTATTTATTTGTATTCTATTTTGTTTTATTTTGATCTAATTTTGCTTTCTGATATTTTATGGCATTTATTTCATTTTATTTGTAATTTGTTTTATTATACGTTCTTTATTTTATTCTTATTTTTTGCTCATATTATATATTAAATTTTTTTATTTTGTTTTATTTTAGTTTATTTTATTTTATTTTTTATTTAAGTTTATATTAATTTTATTATTTATATTATTTCATTTTATATTATTCTGTATTATTTTATTTTATTTTATTTACTTTTATTCTATATCATTTTATTTGATATTTAAGCTTATTTAAATAAATCTTATTTTCATTATTATTTTTATTCTTTTTTTTTTTGAAAATATTTTCGCTGTGAATATACTAATATATTGTATTAAATTTAGGAATTTCCCAAATAATATTATATATCCCCTTAGCCGAAAATAGTTACTCTACACATATTAAGGACCGTAATGGGTTTCAGCATATCTTTGTTGTAATTTAATCTTTACATATTTACTCTAGAGACACCACTTTCGCTGTTGAATATTTTAACTTGAAATATTACAAACTTTTTTTTTAATTTTTTTTTTTTCAAATACTCCCACTTTTGAATGCATTTCCTTTCAATCTTCTACACACAATTTTCTATCTACATTTTCTGTACATAACTATCGATTATTTCTATTTCTAAACAAACTTGACACACTGCGTTCTAGTTTCTTTCATTTGAGTTTGAGTATCTGTCTTTAAGTTTGAAAACATTCCCAAAAACCCCCAAACTAAGATGCTTTTCTAAAAACGAATATAAAATTTACAACAGAGAATAATTGAACTGTTATCGATTGGAAAACTTTACTCCCCACAAAATTGCAAATCCATTGCAAATGGAATCATATATCATCCATTTCATAATATTGTTCGTACTTTTTTGAATTAATCGTACGTATGTTGGTATATTTATGCAAAAGTTTCTAAATAGTATTTTTTCCATTAATTAACATTAATATATATAATATTTGAATTTTTTAATTAAATAAGTTGCAGAAAGTATATATATATATACGTACATGTAATGGTAATATTTGACAAAAAAAACACCTTTAATTAGTTTTATAAAACTGTGTTGCACAAATCTTAAGTCTTTAAAGCTCGTTCGTTGGTTCAATCACTTCTTTTCTTTGGCACGCAAAACAGAAAATAAAAAATTAATCGAAACGTAAGTTGAATTTTGTGCATTTGAGTGACTCTGTACAAACAAACTACACTGTGAAAATTATTCTAGTTAAAATTAATGAAAACGTAAAAATGTGTACAACTTTCTTCTTCTCACACGCCAATTGTGGCATAGAAAGAAGGAAGGAAAAACAGAAGTAAAGTAAGAAATTTTGAGGAAGCAAAAAAAAAAAAATAAATAAATAAAATGGTAAAAGCATCTTCAGTGCCCCCAATATTGAGTTTGCCATATCATATATTAATTCTAGACGATGTAGTTTACAATCAGACCATGGGACCTGGCGCCACATTGGATAAACGACGACCCGACTTGCGTGATGAACTCGGCTATATTGCACCACCCAATCGCAAGCTGCCACCAGTGCCCGGCTCCAATTATAATACCTGCGACCGGATTAAGCGAGGTACAGTGATAAGTAAGCATCTAAATTTACAAATACAACAACATTTATTAATGCGAGCAAAAATATCCTCTTGTTCTTTTTTTTTCTATTTTCGGTTGGGAAATCCAAATTCGTTTATGTTTTTCTTTTGAGTGGCACGAAGATTTTGTTTTGGCGTGAAATGTTTTTTTTTTTTATTAAAGTTTTTAATTTTACGCTTTGCACTAAATGCTTAAGCAATGCAAGTAAAGAAAGGATTAAAATGTGAAAGAAAAAAATAAATAAATAAATATATTTTCAGCCATTAAAGTAAATTAAAGTCTTGAGAGTAATTTTTGAATTTTGTTTATAAATTTTTAAATGTAAATTTGTCTAACTTTGTATGCACTTTTGAGACAACTTTTTTCACGGTGTATACTAAGCTCTATCAACTGTAAAATCTTGTTTTTTAATTCCGTAATGTCCTTTCTGTAAAAGTTTGTTAGCTTTTGCATGCTCCATAAATGTTGTAGTAAATTTAGATCAATTAGTTTTAAGCTTTTATTATGAGTGAAACAAATGTCAGTATAATATTATTAAATTATTTTAAATTTCGAATAAACTATATGTTCAAACAGGCCAAACGGTAATTGGCAATTAAGTTATGACAATTTCGGTAAACCAAGTCTAAATTGCAACGTTATTTGCTAGAAAATGTGAAATTACTTAAATTTCCATTACTAAAATATGTGTTCAGACAGGCAAAACACTAATTGGCAATTAAGTTATGACAATTTCGGTAAACTAGGTCTAAATCACAATGTAGTTTGTGAGAAAATGTGAAATTACTTAAATTTCCATTACTAAAATATGTATTCAGACAGGCCGAACGCTAATTGGCAATTAAGTTATGACAATTTCGGTAAACTAAGTCTAAATTACAACGTTATTTGCTAGAAAATGTGAAAATACTTAAATTTCCATTACTAAAATGTGTGTTCAAACAGGCCGAACATTAATTGGCAATTAAATTATGCTAATTTCAGTCTTTATTGATCATGATTTGACTTAAAATATGAAAATATATAATTTTTCATTATTAAAATATGTGTTCAGACAGGCCGAATGCTAATTGGCAATTAAGTTATGACAATTTCGGTAAACTAAGTCTAAATTACAACGTTATTTGCTAGAAAATGTGAAAATACTTAAATTTCCATTACTAAAATGTGTGTTCAAACAGGCCGAACATTAATTGGCAATTAAATTATGCTAATTTCAGTCTTTATTGATCATGATTTGACTTAAAATATGAAAATATATAATTTTTCATTATTAAAATATGTGTTCAGACAGGCCGAATGCTAATTGGCAATTAAGTTATGACAATTTCGGTAAACTAAGTCTAAATTACAACGTTATTTGCTAGAAAATGTGAAAATACTTAAATTTCCATTACTAAAATGTGTGTTCAAACAGGCCGAACATTAATTGGCAATTAAATTATGCTAATTTCAGTCTTTATTGATCATGATTTGACTTAAAATATGAAAATATATAATTTTTCATTATTAAAATATGTGTTCAGACAGGCCGAATGCTAATTGGCAATTAAGTTATGACAATTTCGGTAAACTAAGTCTAAATTACAACGTTATTTGCTAGAAAATGTGAAAATACTTAAATTTCCATTACTAAAATGTGTGTTCAAACAGGCCGAACATTAATTGGCAATTAAATTATGCTAATTTCAGTCTTTATTGATCATGATTTGACTTAAAATATGAAAATATATAATTTTTCATTATTAAAATATGTGTTCAGACAGGCCGAATGCTAATTGGCAATTAAGTTATGACAATTTCGGTAAACTAAGTCTAAATTACAAGAATACTTACGAGAAAATGTGAAATTACTTAAATTTCCATTACTAAAATATGTATTCAGACAGGTCAAACACTAATTGGCAATTTAGTTCTCACAGTTTTAATAAATTAAGTCTTAACTCCACTATTATTTGCCAAAAAATATAAAATGTAATAGTTGTCGACACACAATTTACATGTTTAGACAGGTTGATAACTAATTATCAATTAAATTTTTACAGTTTTACCAAATTAAATCTCAATTACATAATAATTTGCAAAAAAAAATGATATTAAGTAATTGTTCATTGCTATAGTACACCTTCCAACAGGTCAAACACTCACCCATTGAATTTTGACAGTAAAATTAACACTTAATTGCGTTGCAATTTGACATAAAATATGGTATTAAGACAGGCCGATAACCAATTTATTATGAAATTTTGACAGTCTCACCAAACTAAGTCTAGACCACAGCGTTATTTCCGAGAAAATATGAAATAATTATTTGTCCATAAGTAAAATATTTGTTCACACAGGTCATTCACTAATTGGCAATTAAGTCCTTACAGCTTTAATGAATTTCAATATTAATTCCACCAATATTTAACATAAAATATGAAATTAGCTAATTGCTCATTACTAAATTATGTGTTCAGACAGACAAGTATTTAGTTGCACAGTTGTGCCGACAGTCTCAATGAATAAAGTCTTAATTGCCATGAAATTTAACTTTTATTAGTAAATTAATTTAATTTTCCAAGAACAAAATATATTTTCAAATTTAGCATTCATATCATCATAATTTACCTTGAAATATACCCAAAACTAATTAATTATTCATTGCTAAATCAAGTTTTGATAATTAAATAACCAAATTAATAAATTTTTCATGATTATATATGGTTTCAGTAAGACTACAAGACAATTAAATTTTTACAGCTTCAACGAATTTAATCTTCATTGCATCGCATTTTGCCAAAACAAGAAATTACTTAATTGTTTGAATAAAATATGTGTTCACATAGGCCAACCACTAATTGACAGTTGAACTTTGATAGTTTTAGCGAACCTATAAGAGTCCCCTGACTTGGTATAAAAATAAGTTTGACGAATTCTTTCAAACAATATTTATAAATTGCATACTCTAAATTGAGTATGTGTGTGAATACCTATAAACTTAATTTGAATTCGTATTTTCTAAATTTATTAGCCTGTTTGAACAAGCTAAAATTGTAATATTACGCTTGATTCACTCATAATGCTTTCGCCTATTTTTAGAATACCCTACCCCATTGCATTTGCTTTATGAATTGTATTTAAATATTTTTTTCCTTTTATGTTCGCCGTTTGAAAAAATGCCTTCAACCATATCCCAATCCGATCCGATAAAATTAAACCGATATTTATGGCTTTTTTACACCTGCAACTGCTTGATGTTTTATATAAAACCCGTTTTATATTACGATTTTTGCAAAAAAAACTCTTATGTAATAAACTACGTAAAACAAAAACAACAAACAAACCAAACATTTACATAAACAAACGGAAAACTGAACACATTAAAAACATATTCAACAAAAATATTTATAATTTTATTGCTACATAAATCACCACTGAGGTTTATGCCTTGCTCTATTATATTCTATACATATTTATATATGTGTGTATGTGTGTGTGAGTAGCACGTGGCATACGCTCGAATCATTCCACCTGGGATCCACGCCGTACCAATTTGTACGAGGAATTGAAGGCTCCACCAGTGCCACTGCACGGTAATCATTATGGTCCCGAGGATGTGCAATGCCATTATAGACATCCAGGTAGGCCTGAAGGGGGAAGGGGATTTGATTTTATTACATCATATTTTTTTCCAATTGTTTTACTAATTTCTAATATATTTTTACTAATTTTACATATATTTTAATTATGAAATTTTTATTAATTTCAATTTTGTTATTAAGACGAACAAAAAAATAAATAAAATAAAATAAAATAAAATAAAATAAAATAAAATAAAATAAAATAAAATAAAATAAAATAAAATAAAACAAAATAAAATAAAAAAAAACTGAAAAAATTTATAGTAAAATAAATAAAATTGATAAAAGTTAAAAAACATTAAAATATATATTGAAGCTGTAATTTTAATATTTATTTTGTTGAAATTTTTATTTCTTTTTTTGTAAGAGTATTTTTATTTGTATTTTTATGTGAGTGTTTTTTTGTATTTTGTTTTTTCAATTTATGGGCTCTTTAAAAATACTCGCGTTTAATAACTACTAACAGTAAGTAACGGTGTATATATTTAAGTGCATATATATTTCATATGAACTTAATTAATACAAATATATGAATATACATTGATTTTTAATAAAAGCCAATATTTTTGCATGCTCTTTTACATATAATAACATAATATGCAAATTTTTTTGAAGCAGCACATAATGACAACAGTAACAACATAACCCACTAAACCAACAAAAACAAATAACGATTCAACACCACCCAACTCACTTATACATAACTCTGCCTACAAAATAAAATTACTAATTCAATTTATTTTTTCCCAATTTTTTTTTTAAATCACGCCCTCAAGGCATGGAAGATGAAATCTGCCCCTACGCAACCTTCCACTTGCTCGGCTTCCGCGAAGAAATGGATCCCACCAAGGCAATGAACTTCCAAACCTTCCCACATCAAAATGGACACGCACCCGGACCCGGACATGCTGGCACTATGGGCCCACCCGGCCATCCTGGACATGTACACTCACGTTCCGGTTCACAATCAATGCCACGCGCCAATCGTTATGCACGCAAAAACAGTCAAGGTGGACAATCGTCGATTTATACACCAGCACCCGAGTATGATGATCCAGCTAACTGCGCTGAGGAGGATCAATATGTGAGTGTAATTGGAAATTTTTGTTTAAAAATAAAAACTGATTTCAAATAATTAAATTAAATTACAGCGTCGTTATACACGCGTCAACTCACAAGGTGGCAGTCTCTACTCTGGCCCCGGACCCGAATATGATGATCCCGCCAATTGTGCACCCGAAGAGGATCAATATGGCTCACAATATGGTGGTCCATATGGTACACCATACGATCATTATGGTTCACGTGGCTCGATGGGTAGACGCAGTGTCGGTAAGTGTGTGTGGGGTGAGGCAAAAACAAAGCAGTGCATGTGCTCGGTATGGGGTGGCTGTGTGTGTTGTTAAATTTGATTATTAATGGCATTATTACTAATTAGGTTCTGCACGTAATCCAGGTAATGGCTCACCAGAACCACCACCACCACCACCACGTAATCACGATATGAGCAACTCCTCATTCAATGACTCCAAGGAGAGTAATGAGATCTCAGAAGCTGAATGTGATCGCGATCATGGACCACGCGGCAATTATGGCGGTAAGTTTGAGAATGGATTTTAGTTAAATTGAATGAAAGTACGAAATAACTTATTTCTTTTTGAAAAAAAATAATAATAAATGTATAGAAAAGTATAAATACTTTATGCTTAAATGCATTTCTTTGTATACTAAAAGCATTTATATATAGTATATTAATTTCTGTGTATTTAACACAAATTTATGCTAATATATGCTATGCTATTTTTGTGTCTTTATTACTTAAAAAATTAAAAAAAATATATTAATACTTAAGCAGAAGACTCCAATGAGGGTGAGTGAAAAAAGCAACAATCGGCTTCATTTTGAAATCATAAAATTTTTTTATGTGAATGTTGGCGTTATAGTCGTTTACAAATTCAATATTCATTAAGAAAAAAATAATTTAATATTAATTTTTTTCCAAAAATAATGTTGTCATTATTAGAAATGTAATCTAAAATTTTTTTTGTTAGAAAATTATGAAAGTTCTGCCAAACACATCACATCATATATCATTCATCTAAATAAAAAAAAAATATTCAAAATCATATCGCGCTGAAATTTTCGTTTGCTCATTTTTCATAAGCCCCTACCTAAATCAGCAATTTTATGGAGTTTTATTTATTTATATATGTACAAATTTATCATATTATACATGCATACGTTCATACCTAAACATATATATACTAAATGAGTTAATATTTATCTATAGTTAATATAAAATTAACACAAATTCAGTTTATTCGGTTTCTTAAAATAAGCGGCCTAAAAGCAGACTATAAAAATTATTACTTTGGCTTAAACTTTCATTGAGTATAGTGTTGAAGGGTGATATTTATTGAAGTCTGCTTTCAGGCTGTTTTTTTTTTTGATAACCACTATACTAGTTTAAAAAATTGATAAATAATCGTCAACGCTCATCGCATCATCAAAGGCAGAAAAAAGCATACTTAAACGCATTTCATACCCTTTAAAAAATTGTTGTAATTTTTTTTAATTTAGCTTTAAGCATACTTTCAAATATTCATACTGTGTTTTGCTAAAATGTGTTAACATGTGTTTTTGGTAATTATATATTTTTTTTTGTATTTGTTGTATAATCCTATTTTGTGTGTCAAAATTTAACATTTTGGTTTAAGTGATTTTTGTCAATGACGGATTGGGTTATTTTAAATCTTTTTTTCATACCCTGCATACATATAATTTGCACAATTTCACCATTTCGTTTCACTTTCGAGCACGTTTCGTTCACAAATTATATATGTTTTTGGTATATTTTAATTTTTTTTTTGGTTTATAATAATATGAAAATAATTATAAAAATTTTATTTGTGTTAATAAAAAATAAAAATAAATTAAAAAAAAATTATTTGAAAAAGAAATTATAAAAAAAATTAATACAAAAATTAAAAACAAATTTATGGGATATAAATTTTAACTTTTGTGTTTAATGTCATAAATAATTTGATTTTTTTGTATATTTCAATTAATTTAATTTTTTTTTTTAATTATCATTACATTACATTACGTGGCATCAGCATGCTATTTTCATTAGTCATTTTTTCTAAATATGTGTGTAGCGTTAGTATAATTATTATTTGTAGCACTTAAAGTTAGAAAAAAATAATAAAAATTGTTCACAAATGTTATTTTAAAGTTAAATTAAAAAAAAAATAGGCTAGCGGTTTTATTTTCATAAAATATATTAAACATATATTTTTTTTCAATAAAATTTATATATAATCTTTTTCGTTTCATTTATTGATTTTTATAACATTTCTTTCTCCTCTTTTTATTTATCGACATTTTATTTACGGAACTACTTTATCATACTAAAAAAAATATATATAAACGCAATATTTGTGCTAACGTTTGGGGAATTGACTGTACTTTCAAAAACTCAATGCAAAAATGCACAAAAAAAAATAATAAATGAAAATCAAATATATATAAATATATATATATGTAAGCAGCTGTCAAAAGATCCCCACTACAAAAGGATCAACGTACAACTGAAGAAATGCGCAAACTGATTGAAAGGTAATGTATAAACGGCACGAAAAAACTAGCATATAAATATTTATTTCTTTATTATTTAAAAACAAAAAATATTTAAATTAATTTAAGTTTAAAAAAAATAACGATTTTTAAGCCTTTAAATATTGCAAAAGTTAAGTAGTACATAAAGTTGAGTTTTTAAAGCAAAATTTTTATGAAAGGTTTTTGGTTGAAAATGCACAATTTTGTAAAATTTCAATGCAGCAAAGTTTTAAATAATTCTTTTAGTAAAAGAGTTGGTTGCAGTTTAAATAAAAAGTAGCGTAAATAGTTTTTGGAAAGTGTAAGCAATATTTTTTATATATACATTGCAGTTAAAGTAAAAAAAAAAAAATAATATTAAAAGATAAAACAAAATTAAAATTATTTTAAATATTAAACAGAAAATTATAGTATTAAAAAATATGAAAAAAATTAAAAATAAATATAAACAATAAAAGAATATTAAAAAAAATAAAAAAATTAAAATTAGAAATATGTTCATTTCTTCAATTGCAAATAGTTTTAATATTAACAATATGCACTAACGTTGTTTGTTTAATAAATAAAAGACATCTTTTATAAATATTAACTTCAATTTTACATTAAAAACAAATTTAAATTTATATATATAGTACATGATGGGAAATTGTTGTTCTTTCGTTAAATGCAAAATATTTCGTTTTTAATAAATGCACTAACTTAAATTAAATAATTATTGATTATTATTATTTTTAAAAATGAAAAGAAAAACTCAAACCAAAACAAAAAAAAAAGATTGAGTTGAAGTGAAAATCAAAAATTACCTTTAATATTAATTTAATAAATAGGAATAATTAAAAAAAGCATTAATTAAAATAAATTATAATGCTCAAAATATAAATAATAATACTTAAGTAAAAAATTAGTTCATTGGTTAATTCGAAGAAATTATCATTCTTAAACAAAAGAGTTGTTAACAAATTAAATTAAATTTTTAATAATACTTAAATATAAAATAAGTTAAAAAATTAAAATAAATTATAATAAATACTTAAATAAAAATTAGCCAAAAAATTAATTGCAATTTTTAATAATACTTAAGTAAAAAAACAGTTAGAAAATTAATTAACATTAATTATATTATTTAAATATGAAATTCGTTAAAAAATTAATTAAAATTAGTTATAAAACTTAAATAAAAAATTAGTCCAAAAATTAATTAAAATAAAATATAATTCTCAAATAAAATCGTAATTAAAAAATAAATTAAAATTAATTATAATAAAGTAAAATACTTGAATAAAAAATCTGTTCAAAAATAAATTAAAATAAATTATAATACCTAAGTAAAAAAGTTATTAAAAATTAATTAATTACATAATAATACTTAAAAGTTATTTAAAAATTAGTTAAAATAAATTATAATATCTAAATAAAAAAGTAGTGGAAAAATTAATTAAAATTATTAATAATACTTAAATAAGAAGTTAGTTAAAAAACTAATTATTATAAATAATAATAAATAAGAAATTAGCTCAAAAATTAATTAATATAAATAATAATAAATGAGAAATTAGCTCTAAAATTAATTAAAATAAATTATAATACTTAAATAAGAAGTAAGAGTAAAGTAAAATACTTTACTAAAAAATGATTTCAAAAATAATTTGAAAAAATTATAATTCCTAAATAAAAGAGTTGTTAAAAAATTTAATTAAATTATTAATAATACTTAAATATAAAATTAGTTAAAAAAAATAAAATAAATTGTAATAAATACTTAAAATTAATTAACATAAATTACATTATTTAAATATAGAATTAGTTAAAAAATTAATTATTATAAATAATAATAAATAAGAAATTAGCTCAGAAATTAATTAATATAAATAATAATAAATGAGAAATTAGCTCTAAAATTAATTAAAATAAATTATAATACTTAAATAAGAAATTAATTAGGGTAAAGTAAAATACTTTACTAAAAAATGATTTCAAAAATAATTTGAAAAAATTATAATTCCTAAATAAAAGAGTTGTTAAAAAATTATTAAAAAAATATAGAATTAGTTAAAAAAGAATTAAAATAAATTATAACAAAAACATAAATAAAAATTAGCCAAAAAATTTATTGAAATTATTAATAATACTTAATTAAATAAAAACATTTAGAAAATTAATTAAAATATAATATAATACTCAAATAAAATCGTAGTTCAGAAATAAATTAAAATAATATTTACATAAGAAATTAGTAAAAAAATTAACTATAATAAAGTAAAATACTTGAATAAAAAATTTGTTCAAAAATAAATTAAAATAAATTATAATATTTAAATAAAAAAGTAGTGGAAAAATTAATTAAAATTATTAATAATACTTAAATAATAAAGTAGTTTAAAAATTAATTAACATAAATAATAATAATTAAATAAAAAGTAGAAGCAGTTATTTTTTTTTTTAATTAAAAAAGTAGCTGAAGTAAATTTTGAATAGTTTTGAAATATTTTAAAACCACCAAAGTAGTTAAAAATTAAAAAGAAGAAGATTAATTTAAAATAAAAAAAAATTTTTAAAAATCAATTAAATTATAATTAATCAACAAATTAATTAATTTATCTATACAATTATTATTAAATAAAATTAATTTTTTAAATTGGTTATATACTTTTTTTAATTAATTCCTGATGTACATCTTACACAATTCTGCTATTACAACTACTACTACTACTACTACTACTATGTAAACTACTTCTACTACCAATTGCTACAACCTACAAAACCAAAAAACAAAAAAAAAACAACTACTCGTACTTAATCAACATAGTCGACGGCCATTGTAAGTTGATTATTTTTATGCAATCAAATTTTGATAAATCATAAAAATATTGAAAAAAAAATTATATATATTTATTTATATACATATATATATTATGTGTATACATATATATTTTATATATATTATAAAAAAAAATTTTAACAAATTTATTTGTGTGTTCTTTGCATGCGTAGCCACATAGTAAGATATAATTGAATGGGTAAAATATATTTGTTATGCATTAATTTGTTTAATTATGTAGTCTCTGCATGTTTGTTTCTTTTGTTTGTTATTGTTTTATCAAAAGTTTTGTTGTTTTCCTTTTTAAAATTTTATTATTATCTTTTATTTAATTATACACTTTTCTTGTTGTTCTTTGTGTTTGAGTTGAATGGCAAATCACAGTTTGATTATTATCTAATAGAAAAATTTCAAAGAAGTATGTATGTATGTATATGCTTTCTACAAAACATACAATATACATATATATATATATAAATGAGAGAAAAAAAATAATAATAATAATTCGTATATAATAGAAAAAAATATATATATATTTTAATAAATAAGTTGCACTTGTGAGCTTTTATTGTTGAGTATGTTTTTAACACTCGTTTAAAAAATTAATTAAATCAAAAAAAAAAAAATACAAGGAAACACTAACTGCTTACATATATACCCCAAAATTATAGGAGAATTCATTTTCAGATTATTTTTATTATTGTGAAATTAAAAAAAATAATTACAGGAGAATATAACAATTTATAGATTCTCTTAAGCCCCTGTGGAGTCTTTAAGAATAGCCCAATGTTTACCCGATAACTAAGCTTCACGCAATCCAACCACTTCGATTTCTTTATAAATTTCATTAGCTAATTTATATTACGGTCTTCTATCTTTTACAAATTATCGATGAAAGCAATCCCGTTGATATCAGAAACCAACTCTGCCCAAGGCGCAGCAGTCACATAGGAGTTGAAAGATCATTTCTTGCAGCTTATCGTTCTTACAGCTTCCATAGCCTACACTGAAGGGAATGTCCACCACTCCGAGTGTATTTCGGACATGAAATAAAGGCTCCTCGTTAAAAATACCATCAGCCGTTCAGAGGCGGCTTAGTATAAACTGTAGGTCCCCGCAATTGTGGCAAAAAATATCAAGACGCAAGCCCAAAAATTGGAAAAGGAGCTCGGCCGAAAAGCCGCTTCAGCGGTTACAAAGCGCCACTTAAATATATAAATTATTCGGTTCCATTTCGGCTAAGTTTATACAAGATATTCCAGAAGTAGCAGTGTGGTTTCATCTTAATTCGGGGAGCTCATAGGTAAAGTCTTTGAGTAGCTGTTTGCTTGAGGCGTAGCAAGAGGTATAACAAGCATCTGCTTGGTCGTTTCTAGACCGGCAAGCTCGTGTGTCCTACAATGGAGCTCTATATCCTTGTGAACAGGAGCTCAAATAGGTGATAATCTCTGCTGTTTGGCCAACTTCTTAAAAAATCGGTGTCAGCCAAGCACAGTTTTTCAAATCGTTGTAAGCGCGCGAAAAGCGACTTTTACGCTGTCTGACCTTCATTGAACATAAAGTTGATCTTGCCTCCAATGTAGTTTGCCGAATAAATAGCGGAAATTTCTATCCGAAATATACTACAATAATCGCCTTGAAAATAATGCAAAAGCTGGATCTCTTGAGAAGACACCTACGCCAACACTTTCATCAAGTTTTGTTCCATTAGTGTTCATCTCAATACGGTCGATTCATACGTAATTTACATTTCTGTGCTTTATTTGACTTCAGGAACAATCCATTTCTAAAGCCATCAATCATCGCATGATTGATTTACTTCCGATTTTTCAGTGTTCAGTTTCGAACCCACCCTTTATGTCCGGTTCCGTTGCAGCAAGATCTTGCTTTGCTGACTTACAAAATCGAAGTCATGCTAAAACTGAAACCGAACGACCATCAAGTGGGTGGCACGTTCGGTGAATACGTCCAAGAACGACTGGGCCACCGAGTCCGATTTTTACAAGAAGCGACTAAGCTCACTTCTGGTCTATTGAGTATGTTTGTAAGGAAAGGGTCGCCTTTGGAGTGATGATAATCCACAACTCATTATTGAGATGCCGTTATAACCTCAAAAAGTCATCGCAAGAAATCGGAACCTCTTCAAAACCAAAGCCGACCACAATGTTAAGTCAATGAGTAACGCTATATAGAACAAGAATGAACCAATTTTTCATATCCGAACTGTTGGACGATGATGTGGACGATCCTTGGTTTCTTCAAGTTGAACATGACCGCACAACATTCCATACTGTTAAAATTAATATTCTACTTAACATATTAACCATATTGAATTGTATTTGTAAATGTAAGCAAGTAAAATATTAATTTATTATTAACTAACTAATTATGCATAAATAAATAATAATACAATATATGAGCATACGCTATTAATAGTTATTTATGAATGATTTAAATATTTAAAAAAAAATTAAAAAAAAAATCACAAAAAATATAATAAAAAACGTTTATTTTTTACTATTTTTTTTTTTGCTAATAAAATTTTTTATATTTTTTTTTTTCACATCAACTCAACCTACTCATGTTCATCAATAACAACGTAAAAACTTCGTTGTGAACAATAGAAACGAAGCCGGTCCAAAACAACTCCAACAACAAAGTGGCGCAGGATTCACAGCCTACGATACTATGGCAGTGTAATTTGTAAACCGACAACTGTAGCAACCAACAGCAACAGCAACAACAACAGTAACCACCAACAACATACTAGCACAACAAGAACCAATAGCAGAGAGAGAGAGAGAGATAGAGAAGGAGTGAGATAGAGAGGGAGAGAGATAGAGAGAGTGCAAATGTGAAAAGCAAACCTCCCGGTTCCACTAGTCATATGTATGTAGTAGCTGCGCAAAAGAAAACCAAATATTTTTTCTTTCAGTGTATTACTTGGTGATAAGAGAGCGGGAAAGAGAGAGAGTAGTTGATGTTAGTTGAAAATTTAAAGAGAAAAGTGAGTGTGAGAGAAAGTTGATGAGTTAAAAAGAAGGTGAATTGTGTACCAAAGAGTACACTATTTTACACTTTCTCTCTCTCTCTCACTCTCTCACTCTCACTCGCTCATTAGCTTGGCAGCGCACGGGCGACAGGGAGCGTATTAATTCATACATACATAACTAAGTAAGATAAAAAAGAGAGGATGTGTGTGAGCGGGAAAAATGAAAATGTGAAATATAAAACATCGCTGGCGTAATTTGTGCGAAAGAGACAAATATATATATATACATAGTAATATATATATATACATAGCTATATATATAATTATTAACATCACAGTAAATGTATTAAACAAACTACATACATACATAATGGTATATGCAAAATGAGTAAGAGAAAAAAATGCGCTCTCCGTTTTATTTGCAAAAAAAATAAAAAATAAAAAAAATTAAATACGTAAACGAATTAAAATAATATGAAAAGAGGAGAAAAATTATGGTAAAAAGTTGACGAAATAAATATTGCAAAACTACATAAACATACATACATACGCGTATATGAAAAGTATTTATATTATGCTAAAAAAAAAAACATATAATTATTATTAATATTACTACAGCAACAACAACTAAAAAAGAAACGAAAAACTTGCATATAAAATATATATAATTATTATTAAATGTTCTATGTGGTAAAAGAAAATTAAAAAAAAAAAAATAAAATAAGCAAGCAAAGAGAATAGCTAGAAAGCGCACGCTAAGAAAAAAACAGAGATAGACATAAAGAGAGAAAGAAAGAAAAATGGAAAGAGAGTGAGCGCATAAAAGAAAGCGAAACAACTACTTCATTAAGACCGAAAACACCAGTAAATAAATAATTTACATACAAAAAATTAAAATATTAACAACAACAACAACAGTAACAAATAATTTTGTATTTATTTTTATTGAATACAAAAAGTTGCGATACCAAATTTTATCTTAAAATGCAATTGAAAATAAAAACAAAAAATAAACGAAGCAAAAGTAAAAAATAAAAATAAATATTAATTTACATACCGACATACAAAGTACATACACTTATACATATTAAATTATTAAGCATTTATTGTAACAAAAAAAAAGAAATATTAATAATAATAGTAATTGATTGAAGTAAACGAGTTGTACGAAGCGTGTTGCGTGAAAGAGAAGGAGAATCAATCAAGTTTTTTATGAGCCATCACAATTTTTTATGTGTATTTTTAAATATAAGTATGTAAAAGAAATACAATTTATGACAGTTCAATTAAAAAAAAAATTAACTAAATCAATTTAAATGATATAAATAACGGTAATAAATATTATACATTTTTTTACGTATTTTTTTGTAAACTGTTTTCATAAATTTAATTTTTTTTAAACATTTTTTATAATTTATTCTTAAACAAATTTTTTTTAAATTATTTTTTTCCAAAATATTTTTCGAAAATATTTTTTTCCAAAATATTTTTTGAAAATATTTTTTCCGAAATATTTGTCTTCAAAATATTATCATCCAAAATATTTTTTTCCAAAATATTTTCTCCCGAAATTTTTTTCCAAAAAAAAATTTTTTTTTCCGCAAAGTTCTCGCATATTTCGAATTTGTTTTTAACAAATTTGAAATTTTTATTTTTAAATTTTAAAAGAGTAAATTAAATATGCAATATAAAAACAAATAAAAAAATATTTTTGATTTATACAAAAAAAAATTAATTTTAATATTAAAATTTTGAAGTATTAAAATTTTGAAGTATTAAAAAAGAGATTTATCAAATTTGTATGTTTTTGAAAACTATTTTTCAAAATTAGTTAATTTTATAACTTTCATAAATTACTATTTATTTATTATAATAGAAATTCATTATAATACAAAGCTTTTCAAATTTTAAAAATGAACTTGATGCGCAGTTGATTTTGTGGAAAAATATTATTTTTTTAATTAAAATATTTTATTTGCAAAATATTTTTCAATATTTTTTATTGATAAAATAAAATTCATTTTTTATAAAAAATTTAAAATATTAAAACAAAATTTAATGCGCAGTTGAGTTAAAAAAAAATATTTTTGTTTAATATATATTATTTGAAAAATATTTTTCAAAATTTTTTAATAGTATAAAATATTTCAAATACAAAATTATTATTCTATTTATTATAAAAAAATCATTATATTAATTTTGCGGAAAAATATTATTTGTTATTAATTAACTTATATTATTTGGAATATATGTTTCACTATTTTTTAAGGATGAAACAAAATTCATTTTTTATAAGAATTTTAAAATATAAAAATAGAATTGAATGCGCGGTTAGTTTAAAATATAATAATTTTTTATTGGAAAAAAATTGAAAAATATTTTTCAATAATTTTTAATAACATAAAATATTTCAAATACAAAATTATTATTCTATTAAAAAATGAAAAATAAATTTAAATAATTTTGTGGAAAAACATTTTTGATATGTAAAATATTTTATTTAAACAAACGATTTTACAATATTTTGAAATAATATGTAATATTTGAAAATCGAAATCAGATATTATTTATTTTAAACAAAATTAATTTTAAAACAAAAATTTTACAAGAAATATAATAATAAAAAAATTTTTATAATATTTTATTTCAAAAAGCTTTTTTTTTAATATACTTTATAATAAAATTAATTTCAATGAAAACATGTTTTTTAACATTATAAAATATTTCAAGTTTCTTTTTAAGTTTCAACACCAATTTGCCATTTTGCAAAGCAATTTACTATAATTTTTATTGAAGTAATGATAAATTTGTATTTCTTCAATTTCAATTTATTATTACATATATTTGTATATTATTTCGATTTTTTGTGCGCTAAATTGTATTATGTGTAAGTCAAATAGCTGCAAATGTTGTTTGTGTCCTATTAAATTTAAGCAAATTATTATTTAATTTAACAACACATTTTGGCATTAAAAAGATTAAAATTTTGAATTTTCATTTTTGTTTTTCAAAATTTCTAAAAGTAAAACAATGAGATTCGCTACTTTTTTAAATGAGTGATATACATAAATATTGTTTATTTTCTTGTGTAAACAAAAAAGTCATTAATTCTTAATTATAAGCAAATAAGATAATTTATATATACGTAAAAATTTTTACTACTTTTATAAATATTTGTTTATTTTAAATATTACACTTTTTTTGGATTACATTTTCGTTTTTACACAAGTAACATACTGTTAAACGAATTAGATATTTGGTTTGGAAGAGGGAAAGAAAAATTTAAAGGAAATCCACTAAAAAATGTAAAACTATTTCAAATGAACTGTTAAATTATAAAATGCACGTTTAAAAAGTATGTAAAATATTTTATGAAATATTTCTGCAATAAAAATTGATTTTTGCTTTGACTGCGAAAAAACTGCAGTTATTAAAAATCATCAAAATATAATTGAATTAATTGGAAAAATATAAAATTCATTTATAACATTTTTCACTTAATTTTGAATTAATTTGTAAAGCATTTATGCAATTAAAACAGATATTATATCTATTTTGAGTGAGAAAATTTCTTAAAAATTTTAAAATTATCAAAAAAAAAAAATATAATAAATAATTGGAAAACTCAAAAGTTCATTTTTAAAATTTTTCGTTTAAATATAAATTATTTAAAAACGTGTTACCAGATTTCCAAAAGTCCAAATATCTAGTTTGAATATTTTTTATTTCCAAAAATTTTATTTTTGTTCAAAATGCGCAATTCACTCGACAATCTAGTTCTCAAAATGTTCTTCCAACTTTAAATTTTATAATTTTTTTTTACAAATATTTACATTAAAAAAAAAAACATTTTCATTAGCGACTTCTAGTAGCGAAACTGCAAATGAAATAATTTAAGTTCGAAAAGAAAAGTTTCTGAGACGCACAAATTACACGAAACTATTGATAAAGTTCTTCCTAAATAATTAAATTATATTAAAAAAAAAACAAACAAAAAAGGGCTTACACAACCTTTCGCTTCCTTGTCAAGTGTTCTGTTTTGTAAATGTAAAAATTAATTAATTTATAGAGAATTCACCACTTTCTCTACAAATAAAAGTCACTTTTTATTGCAATTGACACACACACACACAGACACATTTTTACACTGTAATTTGTATTATACAACAAACTTATAAAAAAAACCTACTCCACACACATTTTCTTCCTCAATTTCGTTTTTGCTTATGCGAAAATTGCACTTTAGTTAGGTTTAAATAATTTTTATGTATTTTTTTTATTATTATTAAACTTTTTGTGTTTTTTTTTCAAAATGCATAGATAATAAAATGTATTTTTGTCAACATTTTTTTTATTTACAAATTTGTATTTTATATAAATTATACTTTAATTGCTTTAAATTGCGTATACTATGTGTAAGATTTCGTAGTTTTAAGTGATTGAAAAAAAAAATGAACAAAAAAAACAGTTTCTGATGTTAAATTTTATAATTAATTAAGTTTTACTCGAATTTAATTTTTTTCATAAAATGTAAAATGCTTTACTTGCTAAATGATAATATATGATTTTAATTCTTTTCGATTTTAAAATTATTGTTTTATTTATTTAAACAAAAATCGAAGTTTTGATTTGGAAAATTGGTTTCTAGTTTCTAGTTTATTTTTCAAAAGGTTTGTATGCATTATTGTATTGAATTGATTTAAAAAAAAATTAATTTCAAAAATATTGAATTTATAAAAAACTGAGTTGACAATAAAATGTATTTTTAGGTATTTTTCTTCTTTGAAATTATGCTTAGCTCAATACAAATTTTTTTACCTTAAAGCACTTTTACTTGAACAATTTAATATTATGTTTCTATTTGCAATCTAATACATTTTGAAACTTTTTAATATATATTTTTTAACAAACTTTAAATTATTTAATAATTTTTTATTTTTAAAATGTATTTTTTTTTAATAAAATTGTTTGTTACCTGATTGCTTAATGTTTTTCGGTTTATTCGAATATGTTTTTAAAAAGTTGTTAAACAATTTTAAAATTTCCACTTTCGCTGGTTGTCAAGCACAATTCCTTAAGTAAAAGACTGATTAAAGCAAAATTAAGTGAATTAAAAAAAAAATACAAAATAAAAAATTTATAAAAAATTTATGAAAAATTTGCGAAAAATGTGACTAAAAATATTGCTCAAGTATGGTTGGCGTTTTGTGTCTTTTTGGCAATCAAAAATTTATATTGAAAAAATTAAATTTAAATTGTGACAGCTTTTATTTTATTATTTTTAAATAATTTTACATTATTATTATTATTATTATTGTACTTTATTATTTGAAAAAGGCATCATTGCTCAAGTAGATATGAATTATGAACATTTTTTATATTTATTTAATTAAAATTTAGTTTACTTTAGCTAATGTTAA